TGGAAAATTTCAGGATTAGAAGAACTGGTTTCAGAATTCAAAGTTGAAAGGTGAAAAATGTATCTCTTTTTCTAAAAAAAACGCACTTTGCATGCTACTGTAAATCAACATGCTGCAAAAGATTCCTACCTTTCAAGAACATAACTCTGATTGCTTGAGTAGGGTCCGGGGAAGGGTCTGACCACTTTGGGCCTTTCGTACGCAGCCTTTCCCTGCATTTCTGTAAGAGGCCTAGGAATCTACACAAGCATTTCTAAAAAAGGGCACCCCGGTGCACGTAGCTCCTGCTTGTGTAGGGTCCGGGGAAGGGTCCGACCACTTTGGGTCTTTTTGTACGCAACCTTTCCCTACATTTCTGTAAGAGGCTATTTCCAGGGCTCGAACCCGTGACATCATGGTCACAAGGCAACAACTTTACACCTTTACTGCTGCGCCAAGGCTCCCCTTCCTACACATGCAACAACAACAACAACAACAACAACAAAGCCTTTAGTCCCAAACAAGTTGGGGTAGGCTAGAGGTGAAACCCATAAGATCTCGCAACCAACTCATGGCTCTGGCACATGGATAGCAAGCTTCCACGCACCCCTGTCCATAGCTAGCTCTTTGTCGATACTCCAATCCTTCAGGTCTCTCTTAACGGACTCCTCCCATGTCAAATTTGGTCGACCCCGCCCTCTCTTGACATTCTCCGCACGCTTTAGCCGTCCGCTATGCACTGGAGCTTCTGGAGGCCTGCGCTGAATATGCCCAAACCATCTCAAACGATGTTGGACAAGCTTCTCCTCAATTGGTGCTACCCCAACTCTATCTCGTATATCATCATTCCGGACTCGATCCTTCCTCGTGTGGCCACACATCCATCTCAACATACGCATCTCCGCCACACCTAACTGTTGAACATGTCGCCTTTTAGTCGGCCAACACTCCGCGCCATACAACATTGCGGGTCGAACCGCCGTCCTGTAGAACTTGCCTTTTAGCTTTTGTGGCACTCTCTTGTCACAGAGAATGCCAGAAGCTTGGCGCCACTTCATCCATCCGGCTTTGATTCGATGGTTCACATCTTCATCAATACCCCCATCCTCCTGCAACATTGACCCCAAATACCGAAAGATGTCCTTCCGAGGTACCACCTGGCCATCAAGGCTAACCTCCTCCTCACACCTAGTAGTACTGAAACCGCACATCATGTACTCGGTTTTAGTTCTACTAAGCCTAAACCCTTCCTACACATGCAGCGACAATTAATATGGATCGGAGGGAGTACTTACTTTCGGCTTGTCCGGATGGATTTATCCATCTCGGAGAGACGGAACCAAACCTAAGATCCACACTACACAGTCTCGAAGGTTCTGAGTGTTGCTCACTCGGACACGCCAAACGCTAGCGGTTGGCCTCTGTAGCATCCTGGTATATCCAGACGCCTCGCTTGGAGGGTCCAAACGCACTGGTGCTACTCTCTCAACTCACTTTGAGGGACCGAGTGACACACTCGGCAACTCTGATCAGGGATCACTGAGAGGTTCTCAGGTTTTGTGGAAGATTTGGACCAAGTGCGTTTGAGTACTTAAGCAAAAAAACTTTCTCCACACTTGGTTCAAGTTAAGATCTCGAAACCAACTCATGGTTCTGGCACGTGGATAGCTAACTTCCACGCACCCCTGTCCTAATCATGTTGTCATAAATCATCAAAATTCACTATGGGGGCCTATGATGCACTTTCAGTCCGACCGGTCGTGATGGAACAAGTGCTCCTTTGATGCACGTACTAACACCCACAACGTCTGCTCATTGAAGATCATAAAATTAGTTGTCTTTGGTGGAATCCTTTTCCTACTCCAGAATCTCATTTACCACATTATAACTTTGTTGAAATATGACCATTTGTTAAATTTAGTATATTCATGTACATTTAACTTTCTGTTGCTCATAGTCTGACCAGCTTCAGGAACCCTGGAACTAAAGCATTTTATTTATATTGGAAAAGGTGCAACTTATTATGAATGTTGTCTAACTAACAATTGTTCCACAGGACTCTGGTTACCCAGACTCAGAAAAAACTGAACGGGTAGTCTCTTCCTCAACTAAAAGAGTATCAAGCTGCTGTGAAGGAAATGAAACAATCAACATGAGCTCGGAGCATCAAAACTCTTATTCCAAAGCAACTTGTGCTAGTAAGAAAGAATGGAGCATACCCAAAACGTCAAGCATGAATTTGGATCTAGTTCTTTTTCAAATGAGCAGAATGAGAAATCCGATTTCCAAGGCTCCAACTGAGTCACCAGTATGCTCAGACCCAAATGACAAGTGGCTGAAACGCCTGAAATGTGATACTTCAGATCCACATGTTCCTTGTTCCAAGAAACCAAAGACTGGAGACATAGCAACTCCTGGAGGAGCATGTGCCGTGTTTGGTCAAGTGCTTGATTATAAAAGGGACAGTGCTTGCATGATCAAACAGGTTAAGGAGGACCAAGTGGTGCATGAAACATTGATGGACCAACAAAACCAAGATGCGTCTCCTATGTCAACAAAAAGTCTTAATCACTGGATAGGGAGGTGGTGCCAAGGTGGCTCCCCTAGTTTTCATGGAGCTTCGAGTCCAGCAAAGCAATCGCGAAAGTCTAACACACCACCTGATTGTCTTGAAGGTCAGTTTCCAAGCATCGCCGCGATGGCTATGATGGGGCGTGTAATGAACAAGCTCCGCCCTTGTGAACTTGAGAAGAGGGGTCCTTCTGTAGTCTGGAAGACAGAGGGGTTATGAGTGCCTGTCCGGCTTAATTCAAGACCGGCCATCGGCTGTGGGTTAAAATTTGCATGCAGGAAAGAAACTGCACTGCTACGCTGATGGCAATGCGTATGATTGTTTCCTCACAGAAGAAGAGAAAAACATGGTAGTGTGAATATCATTCCAAGGAGAGAAAAATATGTGTGGTTTCTACCAATCACAGTGTGATAGATTGATGTGTTGATTGTGTAAGGTTCCTGGGATGGATATCTTTTTCCATCGTCTGAAGGGTGCCATATTTGTGTACCGTGACCAAACAGATATTCATAACTGTGGAGGTTGCATTCAGTTTATATTTACTTTACTTGAATTCGAGTTATGTTATGTTGCTTCCAGAAAAAAGGAAAAAAGAAAAAGAGTTACATTGTCGCTGTGCTTTTCTTCGGAGCTGCTGGAAGGATAAAAGTTTAGACGCTAATGTTTTCTGGACCCTATCCTGATAAATATTTGAAGCGCAAATTCTAAATCTTATGAAGCAGAAGTCGTCTGGTATAGCAATGGTGCTGGATCCAGCCCGCCGGGGCTCACCGGTGGTCCGGCTGTGGGTGCTGCAGCGCGAGCTCAGGCCTTGGATGTAAATCGAACGATCAGCTGAGGAATTCCTGGACTTGTGTGTAATGACGGCACTCATTGAGGGTTTTCTGCAAATTCGTGTGAGCTCTCCTTGTGACCGTGGGATCTAGGGAACTTTGATTTCAATGGTGATGAAGATGATTTATTAGGTGATGATGAGTTACTTGTTGACACTGCTAGTGATGAAAACTATGATGAAATTGCTATTAATCATGCTAATCAAGATGAAACGAATGACAATGATAAGAAGGAGATTGAGCGTCTAACTATAGAACTAAACACTCTTAAGTTAGCTCATGAAACTACTATAGAGGATCATCGAGAACTTTTAAAAACTCATGAGAAGATACGCTTCGAAAAGCTCAACCTAGAGCAAGAGCATGGGTTCATAAAAGCAATCAATGATGATCTTCGGAAGAAAAGTTCTTACATTGCCAAGCGTTTACCCTTGTCTACTTACATGCCACAAGTAAAATCTAGCAGCAAGAGTAAGAAAGATTCTTCTTCTAGTAGTAATAATAATCATGCTAAATCCAATACTGTTGCTTCTAGTAGTTCTCTTGATTCCACTAATGATTCTCTTAGCCAAGTTATACTTGAGCAAGAAAATAGCTTATTAAAGGGAATTATAGAGAAAGGTGTTTACAAGAGCCTTGCCGGAAGTAAGCAATTTAAGAAAATTCTACGCAAGCAAGAAAGGCACCGGAAGAATCAAGGTGTTGGTTTGAACGAAAGTTCAATGCCGATGGAGTTGAGTGGGAAGAAGATCAATATCCCAAGACAAAGTTTGTTTCTCAACAAGAGAAGTATGACCCTACTTCCTTCAAGGGAACACAAACTCAAGATGATGTTCCACCACAAGACCACAAGCTAAAAGGCAAGGACAAACATCAAGAGGAGATTGATGCATTTGAAGAAGCTCCAAAGGCCTTGGTCAAGTGGGTTCCCAAGACTACTTCAAGTTCTACTTCATCAAGTACGACTACAACTCCAAGGGTTCCCATCAAGTTGATGTGGATCCCAAAGAAGAACTAGAGAGTTCTTGAGGGTGACTCCGCTAACATATTTTACTCATATTCATATTGGCAAGGACAAGTGCAATCAACTTCCACATCTTGCACTAGTTCAAGGAGTCACAAACTCTCTTGTTAGTAAGTCAAGGGACAAGGTAACGTAATGCTTTCATGGACATCATCATATGTGTACTTTACTCTATGTCTATGGATATCCTTGTTTGTTCCTTGTGGGACTAACCCATGTAGGTATTGAAAGTGCAATTCACTCCAACGGAATGCTCCAAATGATCTACATCAATATTGAGCATCCACATCTTCAACATCTACATGAAGTCATCATTGACAAAACACAAGGTTAGTTCATCCGTCTAAAAGGGGATATCACATCTAGGGGGAGCTTTACTCTAAGAGTTGAGCTAAAGCAACTCTAATGGTGTGAACACAACAATGCTTTATGTAAAAGTGGTAACCCCACTTGTGCTTAGACGATGAGTATGACCTATGATCAAATGTTCTCATTTGACTCCTAAGTCAATATACTCATATATAGATGACCTAGTCGTCGCCAATTGCTTGATAGATGCTAGAGTGTTTGTGCATGCTTTGCCACATATTTCATTTGCTATCTTATTGTGTGAGCATGTTGGTTGCATAATTTTCTCCGTTCGAGGACATCCATTTGTTTCTTTGATTGTTTGGCTTTTCTTTTTGCCAAATGATGGACAAGAATGCCTAAGTACTCCCTCTAGCTATCTATACTTTTCTCGTCTCAAACTCTATTCATGCTACATCACAAAGCTTGATCAAGTCATATTCAAACCCTCTGAGTGAGGAGCACTCGGAGCTACCGATTCGTCATAGACTTAAACTTCCAAAACCTCTTAGTGCTTTTCGGTCTCACCGATTCATTCCATTTAGTCAAACATGATCTAGGTTTTAATCTCGGTGCAACCGATTTGAACTTTTCGGTCACACCGAGTTGCAGCAACCGCTTGCGATTCTGCATCTCGGTGCCACCGAGTTGTTCCACTCGGTCACACCAACAGGGTCTGGATATATATACTCACGCGCTGAAAATTTGGAAATTTCTCCAAACCCTTCGCCCGCACCTGTCCAGCTCTGCCGACTCGTGGTCTCCGGATTGTCCTCTCGTCGCCAGCGACCTCCTCTGGTCTGCGCCACCGTCAACAAGAATCTTCGCCGCCGTTGTCGCCATAGCGAGTTCATCACTAAGTTAGGGTATGAACTCGACCCCTTGTGCAATCTTTAACTCCGATTCTTGCACTAAGGACAATGCCATGATGCTTGCCATGTTTGAGATCCTTCTATCCAACCAGAACATCCTCTAGATTAGTTTTGATCCAAAAACTTAGGGTTAGGTTTCCGCCGAACTCATCTCGGGCCGACCGATTTGGAAAATTCGGTCTCCCAATTTGGCCCAGGCCATTGCACATGTACTACTCGGTCTGACCGAAGTGCACAAATCGGTGTGACCGAGTATACTTTCTCAGTGAAACCCTAGCAATCTCAGAGTCATCGAACTGTGTCTCAGTCTGACCGATTTCACATGTTTAGACTCTAAAGTTGCTTCGGTGTCGCCGAGTTTGTCATATCGATACCTCCGAAATGCTTTCTGTAGAAAACTGAAACTAAGTTTTTGACTCATTTGTTTTGCAAAATGTCTGTACTTTGTTATGCTCATCCACTCTATCTCAAACTATCTGTTCACAGGGTCAGCTTTGAGAGTCAGAGATGTCAAACAACGGTGATAGCCAGAACAGATTTGAGGAGCAGGCAAATTTGAGTGAGGGCACTAGTCCCTCAAACAACAGTTATGAGGAGGGTAGTAGAAGCACCCCAAGCAATCTTCCTAAGGCTACAACCAGGAAAAGGAAGAAGAAAACCTCAGACACAAAGGATGAGGACTTTGTGGTTGATAAGGAAGTCACCTCAAAGAAGAAAGTTGTCAAGAAAGAATTTGGCACTGCAGCTTCAACCAAGCCTGGAATGAAGAAGAAGGCTCCTGCCAAGAGAATCCCAATGTCCAAAGCCAAAGCCTCAACTCAAGAAACAATGGAGTTAACCCTTGAACCAAGAGAAGAGGAGGCTGGTGGGGGAAAGAAAAGGAAGGAAAGGGTCAAGAAGACCATGGCCAGAGTGATTGGTAGGCCATCTATGATCAGGAAATCTGATGAAGAAGAGGTGGAAGAGCCTGTTGCACCTCCTACCAAAACCTAGAAGCTGATGGGGGATGCAATCAAGTCAGGGGCTGCTCCATCTAAGCCCAAGACTGCCCCAACACTGCTGCTGCTGCACAAGCTTCTAAGCCAACAACACCTAAGAGATCTACAAGGAATATCCCAGCTGCTAAGAAGAACAAGGCCCCAGTGCCTGAAGTTCAAGAAGATGAAGAATCCCAAGTGCTCAGGAAGCTCAAACCTAAAATTCCAGATCATGATGATACTCATCCAAGTGCAGAGAACATGAAGTTGAGAAAAGATGTAGGTCTCAGATTGTGGAGACAGACAAACCCATATGCTACAAGGAGAAAGACTGTTGTGGATTACAGGTTCCACACCAAGGAGCAGTAGGACTTCTATGAGACAGTACTTCTGGACAAGAAGCCCATTGTCAGTGATATGAAGTGAGCTGACTAGAAATACATTGATAACAATGTTGACTACTTCCCTGGAGTGCATGAGAGCTTCAGATTGAATGATGTTGACAAGTTTGTTGGACAGAAACTCACAAAATGGAATGATGAGATGGTCATGCAATTTTATTCGACTGCACATTTCTACCCAGATGGAAAGATTGTCTGGATGACTGAAGGCACAAGATATCAATCTACTATTGCTGAATGGGCCAAGTTGATAAATGCGCCTGCTAAAGAGGAGAATGACATTGTTGTGTATGCAAAGCCCAGGAAGGACCACAATTCCATGGCACATATGTACCAGGAAATTCCTGATAAGGCTTTGGAGGCTCATAAATTTGGATCCATCTACTATCTTCTCTTTGGCTTATCCACTATCAACACCATTCTGAGGCACACTTTGCTGCCCAAGTCAGGAGATGACAGGATGATCACAGGGCACTCAATCAACTTGCTGCATTTGTTTGATGTGCCACATAAGTTCAAAGTGATGACCCTCATTGTTGAAACAATGAAGAGAACTGCAGCAGATCAAAAGAGATCATGTGGTTACGCCCCACACATTCAGATGCTTATCAACTCTAAGATGGGCACATGCACATATCTTTTGGACAAAGAGCACCTTCCCCTGAGGCATGAGTTTGAGGATAATGAGATTGTAATGGATGCATCACATCCTACATCAGTAGAGGCTCAGGAGAAGAGAGAGAAAGCAAAGACAGAGAAGGCAA